TCACTCCACAAGCAAGATTGATCATGTCGAGCTTGAATGATTCTACATGCAACCTAAACTACATAGAATTGCAAATAGTCATTGGCTAAAGAAGAGCACAAATGCTTCTTTTACTGTATTTTCCAAGTCTCCCTTACAAATACAACATACATGGCTTTATATAGCCTCAAAATGAAACTATTAAAGGCATTCCAAAAGTTGTAACATTCACACTTTATGGCCATAATTAGCCATTATGTAGATATAACCGAAATTAAATGAAAAGTCTTAAAATACAATAACTCTAAATTACTCTAAATTATAACCCACCCAAAATTTACAACAATCAAACTTTATTCTTCTTCAATGTAGCATGAATTGAAACATCTTTTGATAATTTTGACAACCTTTTCTTCACATCTTCATTGAAGCATATTGTATGATTGATGTCTCTTGGTTCATATCATGAAAACTATAGGTACTTTATGCATGTTGTGTATTCATATACATCAGGTTACTTCTCCATTTATGATAATGAATACGGACGCGTACACTATGATGATTATGATGATGATGATCATATCTTGCATGATACTCGAGGATTTTCTAACCTCCGAACGTCTGACTACGGACAAATAGCTCGACTATTATGAGTCCAAATGGTTGTGAACCACCTGGGGACTCGCTCACACGTGTGGGTCGTGTGTAGGGAAGTACTATACATCCAATTTTGTCCGGACTGGAAGCCAACTCTACGATGATTTTAATGATAGATCCCTAAGCAAGATTTGCATGTGTTTGCATTCTTTGACCCCAATAATTGGGTCACTTATGGAATATTTCTTAAAATCTCGAGGTGTGTGCTACTTCTATTTTTTAGGTAAAGACAAGACACCCCTATACAGTTGACGACGACGTTGCAAGTAAAGACTATAACACATGCATATGATAGTTGTATTTAAATTCTTAAACCATAGGTTAGTATACAATGTTTTTCATTTTAAGATTTATTTATTTATTTTTAGTCATGGGAATAAATGTTTCATCATAGTGTAGTCCATATTGTTGAGAGAACCTTTGAGCGACCCTTGTATCTCTCCATCGATCCATCCAAGAGACATTATTTTGGAAACTCGCTTGCAAAAGATAGAGTTTGATATCTCTTGATCTCGGCACTTGTTTCCAAGTTTAATTTTGGTTAAAGGCTATAATTTCTTCCTCCATTGCTGGCTGCCAAACCATATTTTATGATGCTTCTTCATACATCTCTAGCTCTTTAACTTCATCTTCTATAATAGATGTATAGACATACTTTGGATTTGACTTTTAAATTCTTTATGACCATCTGAGTTGTTGAGGTGTCCTTCGCTTTCACTGAGTTTACTTGACTGAGTCTCAACAACATTAGTGTCACTTGGATCTTCAGGCACATCAACACTTAACTAAATGTGTATAGTTTTCTCCCCCGTCTCCTGTGGTAGAATTTCTTCAATGTTGTCCAAATCTGGTTATACTTCCTTCTCTGGGGCCACCATGCTTCCATTGCGTCACTTTGATTGTCGGTCATGTAATTTGAGCATCCTGAATCAATGATCGAGTCATATTCATAATCGATATGCTCTCTCATCATCGCCATGAGCGCTAGCTCATCTTCTTCTATGACACATAGTAACTCTACATCCCATTCATCTTTCATCTCAATGTTGAAGGTTGCCACATTACTTTCAATATAATTTTTCTTGGACCAACGATCCTTGGACATGTGGTACTTCTTCCCGCAATTGTAGCAAATACCGTCAAATCTCTTCCATTGATAACTCTTGTTGTCATTATTTTGAGCTCTCATAAATTGTGCAGTTTCTTGATGACTTATTCCTTTGTCACAATTTTTGTATCCACGTTTGGTAGACGACTTATTATTGCTCCATATTTCACTTGTGTAGTGCTTCTTCTTCCCCCTTTAATGTGATGTCTCCCGTTTGCTTAGACATGACTTCTTGGCTGACCAACAAATTATTATTGAGTTGGGTTAAATTTTTTTTTTTTTTGGTCTGTATTGGGTTGATTTTTGGAAATATGAAAATTTGGGCTAGTTCACTGGTTGATTTTTTTGTATGAGTCAACCTGAAAATAGGATTACAACCCAACCTAACCTTACCCTAGTTTTAAGATCATTATGAAGATTAAAATATTCGACGTCTGTAGTCGCGGTTAGTGATATATTTGTGACTCGTGAACATTTGATATTTGAGCTTTATTAGATTTTAGTTATTAATGTAACATATATGGTGGATAAATATGATTTTTAAAATAATTAAAAAAAGAACAACCTGAAAACCCAACCCAACTCGAAAATAGAAAGTTAGGCTAAGTTGGGTTGGATTATGAACTCGATTTAGGGTTTCGTGGGTTACTAATCAAAACAAACCAAAATTTTTAAAAGAGTTTTCCAACAAATCCAACACATAAACCTTTATAGACAACAAAAAATTATTAATGCACAAATTCGGTAAGGCCAACTCGGTTACATGGGTGTGACTTGTGAATGTGCTATTAACAATAAGTCTAATGTGTAGGAAATGAAATGGTCGGTATAGCTCAGTTAGTAGAGTAGAGGACTGAAAATCTTCGTATTACCGGTTCAAATCTGATATGAAAATAATTCTATTGTGTAGGAAAGGAAATGGCCGGTATCATTTTTTTTTTTTTAAATATTTAACTAAACTTGAAAAAATTAAAAAAAGTTTGGAGATCGATCTTTGTAGTGTAGATAGACTGTTTTGGTCCATATATTGACGATAAATACTTTTTTTATATCGATCAAGGAGGTTAATGCAACTTTAAAATTTTCATGGAAAAAGTTTTAATAGCGGAAGTGAACAAAAATAAATAATAGGATAACTTGAGGGTAAAATTTATTTTATAAATAATAATAGGACAACCCGTGCCTCGACCCATCTGCAACCTGCACACTCGTCACCTCCTTCCTGTGACACATGTTGCACCTATGACTAGCGATTCCTTTGGTTTATACAGCCAGTTGGCTCGGCTCGACTTCAGCAACTCCGACGGCTCAAAACGCGGCTTCTCGACTCAGTAAAGGAATTTTGATCAAATTTCACCATTTTGATAATCTCGAAGCTAAAATTGACCTTGTATAAGGCAATTGAGGTCAGTATAATATCCAATTTCACAGTCTAAATTAAGTTTGAGCTAAGAAATTTGAGTTATTAATGAAATGAAATGAAGGTTCTAATAAGAAACAACTACCAACGATACTTGAAGCAACTTAGAGGGACGAAATTCAAACGTACTTGAAATTAGGGAGAACGCCGATTAAGGCCAACAATTCTTGTTTTGTTGTCGACAAAACATTTGTTTGTTTGAATGATTATAGATTGATTTGTATCTTAATATTATCTAAGATTGCATTGAACAATTATTAATGACAGATAAATAAAAGTTTTTAAAAAGATTATTTTATAATCCGACAATCTAATTGGAACCCAACCCGAAAATAGAAGGTTGTGAAAATTTTCGGATTGGGTTGGGTTAACAATCCGACCAACCCGAACTTTTGTGTTGGTCTAAAAAAATTCCCTCAACCCAACCAGTTCCTTGTGCACCCGTAATAAATATTCAATGATTAATAAATATCATATAAACATCACTTATTGATTCACTCTAATCATACAAATCAACCCAACGAACTCGAAAATGGGACTCAACTCAACCCATGTACATCTCTAGAAAAATAGTTAGAACCATTGTTGTAAGAAAAGTGATGATGTGTATAACAATTCAAAAATTAAAAGAAAAAAAAAAAAAACTGAGCCGCCATAAATTTCGTGACCCACACGAAACCATGTTCCCCGACCCCCACAATGCACCCAAACCTTCAAACACGCTTCCCAAGCCTCCTAGATTCACGAAACTCCGAAAAAGGAAGGAAGGAAGACAAATAGAGAGGAAGAGGAAGAAAAAAGGGGGAGAAAAGACGTCAAAAAAGGCAGCAATAAGGAGAGAGAAAGTTCGCCGAAAAAATCGCATTGAGTTGGGTAAGGAAAACGACTCTAACGGATCCAGGTCGGACCCAAACCGGATACCCGCGACCCAAACCACGTCGGCTCAGGCAAACCTACAGCGGCCGAAGACCCGTGTCCACTCTGCAACCCATTCGACCCAAAACCTAAAACCAGCTCAGTAGCCCAAACTCATCTGCGCCCTAGCCCGCGAACCAAATCCCAGTAAGCCAGCTTGCAGACGGGACTTGCGGATTGATTCGAACTGCACTGCGACCTGCGCCTCGAACCCACACTATCTGAACGACGTGGCTCGCTTTGCTGCTGCCACATGTCACCATGCGGCGCAAGCTACCCTTCGACTCGGCTTGGACAGTGCGACAGCTTCCTAGGTGTATTCAGCTCGAATTTCTAATTTTACACCATTTCAACCCTCCCGAACCTGTTTTTAGCCACAATTAAGGTAATTGAGGCCGTTTTAGAGCCATATTTCACCATGTTAGTTGAATTACTAATAAAAATATGAAATACTAACGAAAGGTGACGAACGATGCGATAGGAAGCAAACCCTAACAAGAGTTATAGTACATATTTGAATGTTAATAACGACCTTAAGTAATAGAAGCTTAGGGTCGTTACAATTTGAATTTGAGTTAATTTGAAGTTAAATTTGATGTAAATTGGATTGAAGGACAAGGGAAGATAGTTATTATTTAAAGGGTTAGGTATGGAAGAAGATTTCCCTTAAGAGCCTTCCCTATGTGCCATTTATTTCCACATTCACACCTCTCACTCTCTCTCTCTCGTGGAAACCGCGTAGTCCCTCTCTTGCTCTCGTGGAAGACCTTAACGATGGGATTAAACTAATAATAATAATAATAATAACAAAACAAGTGGCATGAAGGTTCGTGGTTGGTTCTTGGCTACCCTATTCACTCTTATAAATTGAGCCTTTTAGGGTTCTTCACTACCACCTCTCACCAACCCTTCCAAATTTCTATTTAAAATGGAGCTAATGAACAAAAAGAGGGAGTTTAGTTGTCTCTTGCATCCTCATGATGATCAAGAACAAATGCAACCTTCCCCCAAAAGAATCAACTTCCTCTTTCTATCTTGGTTTTTCTTCTTCTTAATTTCCTCATTTCTTCTACTATGATCTTATAATCTACGTCGTTTTGTGTTCTTGATCTTGTTCTTGATCTTGATCTTGATTTGGGTTTCTCAGGTTTGTAGCTGAGATTTCGTCTCCGAACTCGTTGGCCCATTTTGAAACTTTTATTCGACCCGTGGTAATTTCAAACCCCTCTCTCTTGTGACCTTATAAACTTGAGTAAGTAGAATAAGTCACTAACTTTGTGACCGCCCAAGCTCACAACTAGCCAATAGTGTCGTCTTTGGGCTCCTCAAGACTTTAAAAGTCATCTGCTCGGGAAATGTTTCACTTTGGGCTTTCCCTTTCGGGCTTCCCCTCAAGCCTTTAAAATGCATCTACTAGGGAAAGGTTTCACACCCTTTATCATCCAAGCCCACCGTTAGTACACCATTTACTGCTACTAGGGAAAGGTTTCACACCCTTTATCATCCAAGCCCACCGTTAGTACACCATTTACTGTCCAAGCCCACCGTTAGTAGATATTGTCCTTTTTGGGCTCCTCAAGACTTTAAAACGTGTATGTTAGGGAAAGGTTTTACACCCTTTACCACCCAAGCCCCCCGCTAGCAGATATTGTCCTCTTTGGGCTTTCCCTTCCGGGCTTCTCCTCAAGACTTTAAAACACGTCTATTGTCCTCTTTGGGCTTTCCCTTTCGGGCTTCCCCTCAAGGCTTTAAAACGCGTCTATTGTCTTCTTTGGGCTTTCCCTTTCGGGCTTCCACTCAAGGCTTTAAAACGCGTCTGCTAGGGAAAGGTTTCACACCCATATAAAGAGTGTTTCGTTCTCCTCCCCAATCAATGTGGGATATCACAAACTTATCGTATAACTTTAGGAGAATTGTTAGTAGACTTAGTAGAATGAATTACCAGCAAAGGAGAATTGATAGTAGTTGCCAAACTGTGAACCTAGTTTTGTGATTCTGGACTAAGTTTATGCTTTAATCAGTCGTTAGTAATTCTTTAACTTGAGGAGAAAATTCAAGAAGCTAGTTAGTGTTTTCTCCACTAAAAATACTCGTGAGATGTATATTTTTTTCCTAACAACCCCAACAAGGACAATTGAAAAGCTAAGTACTTAAGTTTTCTTTGCTCCAAAGAATCTCTCCCCTCGAGGTGTTCCTTTGCCTCTTTCACTTATTTTGACATAATTTCGATTGAGGGTCACATACAACGTCCTCATATCTGAATTATTTGAACTGACTGCATGGATGTCTATTCTAGGTACGTGAGGAGGTGGAGACAAAGGTGGTGGCTAATAACCCCCGACAAGCATGTTCTTTAAGGTTTGTCTCTACATGTTTTAAACTAAACCAATGAATTTCATCATTATGATTATTGAATTTCACGTGTAGAACTTCCCAACATGAAGCTGAATTCGTTGTCGGAGGTGGTGGGTCTAAAATGGTGAAGCTGAAGCTATGTTTCCTCAACAAGCTTCCCTCCACCATTTTCACCTCCAACAACATCGAATCCGACAACGGCGAGCGACTACAAATTGCACTAATGGATGTCACCGATGATTATAATCATAAGATTGTCGGGGCAGCACATCCTTTGTCGTCACTCTTGGTCGAGGTGGTCGTGCTCAATGGAGAATTTGATGGTGAAAGAACTCAATGGAGTGTTCAAGATTTTGAGAAAGGTATTGTCACTCCAAGACCTGGAGGAGGGCCTTACCTCAAAATTAATGCTGAGAGGATTCGTTTGAAAAATGGACTTTTCTCGATCAACAACTCCTTTAATGTCAACTCTAAGAGGACGAGAACGGGAAGGTTTCGATTGGGAGTAAAAGTCATTGATGATGAGATTTTGGGCAACAACAGCTACCCGAGAATTATAGAGGCTGTTTCTAACTCTTTTAGAGTCAGGGAGCGCAAAAGGCAAAGGTACTTATTACGTCACGAGTGACAAAAAGAAAAAAAAATTCATCCCCATCCCTACCCTTATATATATATATATATATTATATTATATTATATTATATTATATGTATGTGTATGTGCGTATGTATATACATATAATTCTTTAAAATTAATATTTTTTAAAATATATGTATAATTCAAGTCCTTCCCAAGCCCAAATTCCTCCAATTTTTCTTTGGTATGTCCCTTAATGTGTCGGATTTCAACAATCATTAGAACTTGTGAAAGAAACGACCATTAAGGATGTCAAATTTATGGGAAAAAAAATTAAGCCCGGATCAAAATACGGCTACCTTTGACTTTTTGGGTCAAAGTTTGGCGATTAACTTGAGGCTATATCTAACGAGCATGTGTTACCAAGTGTAACAAAGAGATGAGATTAGGGTTGTGTCAAAAGAGATAGATAGAGTCACGAGGCCACCCCTAGTATGTGATGAGATAAAGATAGGTCCTACAACATATTTGCTTGTGATTGCATTTAGCATTGTCCCTATAAGTAGGGTCACTTACTGAGTATTCTTCTAAATATTCAAGTCGTATGCCACATCATTTTTCAGGTAAAGGCAAGACATACATGTACGAATGACAGCGGCATCGCGAGTAGAGATTGTGACAAACTCATATTTAAAAAAAAAATAATCATTTAAATTATGATGTATTTGTATTTTTAATTTTTTCTAAATTTCAGTATGTTTATTTAAACACGCAAGACATAACTGTATTTTACAGAGATATAAGATATTTTAAATGTTTTCGACAAAGATGAGGTTTTATTATAAGAGTTATATTCTGCATTTTAGAAGACCATGAGACGTTAGTAACGATTTTGAATAAGTAGAGTACCTTATTCTCTCTCTCTCGTTGAAACCGTAGAGTACCTCTCTCCCTCTCGTGGATGAGCTTAACGATGGGGTTAAAAAAATAATAATAATAAAACAAGTGGCATGAAGGTTCGTGGCTCGTTCTTGGCAATGATACTTGAAAAATGGCTAGAAATTCCGTACTTCCTTATTACTATTATAAATTGATCCTTTTGAGCGTTCCCAGCTCTCACCAACCCGGTGAGGATTCTATTGACATGGCTGAGTTAATGACATGACTTTGATACCATATTAAAAATTACGACTTTCCAGAATAGTATAATATTGTCGAGCATCAGCTCTCATGACTTTAATTTGGACTTCCCAAAATGCGTCATACCAATTGAGATAGTATTCCTTACTTACAAATCTACAATCTTCCACTAAATTAGCTAACGTGGGACTTCCTTCCATCAATCCTCACCATTGTGTTCATGATCTTGATTTGGGTTTATCACGTTTGGAGTTGATATTTCATCTACTAAATTATTGGCTCGTTTTGAAATTTTTCTTCGCACGCTTGTATTTTCAAACTCCTCTCTCTTTCTATGAACGTAGCTTAAGTATTTGAACTGAATTCATGGATGTCGATCGTTATTAGGTACGCGAGGAGGTGGAGACAAAAGGTGGCGGCCATTACTACTCAACTTGAAGCTGACGATGTTGTCGGAGGTGGTGGGTCTGAAATGGTGAAGATGAAGCTATGTTTCCTCAACAAGCTTCTCTCCACCATTTTCACCACCAACCACATTGAATCCGACAACGGCGAGCCACTGCAAATTGCTCTTCCGCCCAACCGATCACACGACATAGATTCTCAAACAGAGACCCACGTGCAGCAGCGTTGGTCCAACCAACTGTGACCCGCGTTCCTGCAATAACCAACATAACGACCCATGCCTCGACCCAACTGCGACCTGCACGTGTTGCACCTACGACTAGCGGCTCCTTTGGCTTATACAGCTCAGTTGGCTCGGCTCGACTTCAGCATCTCCGACGGCTAAGATCGCAGCTTCTTGGCTCAGTAAAGGGATTTTGATCAAATTCTACCGTTATGACTATCTCGAATCTAAAATTGATCTTGTTTCAGGCAATTGAGGTCAGTATAAAATCCAATTTTACTGTCTAAATTAAGTTTGAGCTAAAAAATTTGAGTTATTAACGAAACAAGATGAATGTTCTAATAGGAAACAACTACCAACGATACTTGAAGCAACTTCGAGAGACGAAATTCGAACATACTTGAAATTAGGGAGAACGCTAACTAAGGGCAACCAAATAAGTGGTTTTACTATCGGTTTAGTTAGAACTTAGATGTTGTATGATGACACGTGCCCCATAGCTTTGCACGTGTTATATTCTTATTATGTTTGAAAGGTTATGAAATGATATGTTTACGACATGATATGTGAATGATATGATATGTTTGATGACATGTTCATAATATGATATGTTCATGATAGATATATGTTATGATGTAATAGGACTGAAAATACGACGCAGATATGATATATGACATTCTACTTGCATGGTATGATATGATACGTTGGAAGACACGATATGTTTATGATATGACATATGTTTGACATGATAAAATATATGATATGCTTGACGTAAAATATGATGTTTCGACATAATGCACAATCCTGATATATGTATGGAATGTTATGATAAAATGATATGATATAAAGGCAAGCCGAAGGGATTGTTGTACATGATAATGAAAGAAAATGTTGGGACCTCATGCATTATTATGTGTTCAGGCCCCTCTTCTTATGATAGTACGGATGCGTACGCTACAAGGTAAGAAAACGATTATTATATTTACTATAATGGTGCAATGGTTGCTATTCCTAAAGGGTGTCTATCAACAATAGTTCCAGAGAATGCTAGTCCAACCAATAAAGGAACCCAAGAGGTATGCAAACTGATTGGTGGGTCAATACTCGCACGTATGAGCCATGTGTAGAACATTAAATACACATCCAATTACCCGCTTAGGATAGCCGCCTAAAAAAATATGGACTAATATGTAGCTCCCACTCATGATTGTATGTGCTTACTCTTATTTTCCAGGCAAGACTTCTCTGTACGACTGACGGTGACATCGCAACTCAGAAGATCATAGCACATGCATAGTGTAGTTTGCAATTTAAATTTTGTAGACTATAAGTTAGGATAGGTTAGTATGCATTTAAATTCGTAGTATATAGGTTAGGATGTTACAATTCTCGTTTGGTTGACAAAACATTTGTTTCTTTGAATGATTATAGATTGATTTGTATCTTAATATCTTTTATTCAAGATTGTATTGAATAATTATGAACGTCAGATAAATAAAAGTTTTTTTTGAAAGATTAATTTTTTTTTTAATAATTCGACAATCTAATTGGAACCCAACCCGAAAATATAGGGTTGTGAAAATTTTCGAATTGGGTTCGGTTACCAATCCAACCAACCCGAAGTTTTTTGTTGGTCCAAAAAAATTTCCTCAAGGCAACCCGACCCATGTACACTCGTAATAAATACTCCATGATTAATAAATCGTGCAAAAACTAAATCATATAAAAATCAGACTTGTTGACTCACTCTAATCAAGTACAAATCAAGCTTATTCACTTACACTCTATTTGAGTTTCTTAGGTTATCAACCCAACAAACTCGAAAATCGGACTCAACCCAACCCATGTACACCCCTAAAAAAATAGTTAGACCCATTGTTGTAAGAAAAGTGATGATGTGTATAACGATTCAGAAATTAAAAAAAAAAAAAAAAACTCAGTCGCTATAAATTTCGCGCCCCACACGAAACCATGTTCCCCGACCCCCACAATGCACCCAAACCTTCAAACACGCTTCCCAAGCCTCTCATAATCACCTGCGACGAAGAATCTAAGGAAAATACGAGACATAGAGCATTCTCAAGAATATCGGCGAGATTGGAAAACGAATACCCACGACCTCGAAACTTCAAAACCAACGTCAAAATACCCGAGATACACTGTTAAAGAGACCCCCGATGGCTGCACATCAAGCTGAGGACGTTTTGCGCCCTTTTCATACGCGTTGTTGCCGATAAATGAAGTCGAGATTTCGAACGTTCGCCAAAAAAACGCATTGCGTTGGGTAAGGAAAACGACTCCATCGGATCCAGGTCGGACCCAAACTGAAATACCCGCAACCCAAACCACATCGGCTCAGCCTAACCTGCAGCGACCGAAGACCCGCGCCCATTCTGCAACCCATTCGACCCAAAACCTAAAACCAGCTCAGTAGCCCAAACTCATCCGCGCCCTAACCCCCGAACCGAATCCCAACAAGCTAGCTTGTAGACGCGACCTACGGGTTGACTCGAACTGCTCTGCGACCCGCACCTTGAACCCACACCATCTGCACGACGTGGCTCACCCTGCTGCTCCCACGTGTCACCGTGCGGCGCAAGCTGCCCTTCAACTCGGCTTGGACAGCGCGACAACTTCCTAGGCGTATTCGACTCGAATTTCTAATTTTAGCCCGATTTCCACCATTTCAACCCTCCCGAACTTGTTTTTAGCCTCAATTAATCGTAATTGAGATCATTTTAGAGCCGTATTTCACATTATTAATTATAATGTAAAATACTAACAGAAGGTGACGAACTATGCCATAGGAAGCAAACCCTAACAACCTTTGGAAACTCTTGAGATTCTTTTAGAAGTTATACTCCATATTTTAGCAGAGCATGAGACGTTAGTAAAGTAAGTAGAAACTTAGGATCTCCTTATTCCTGGAGCAAGAGCATGAGACGTTAGTAAAGTAAGTAGAAACTTAGGGTCTTCTTATTCCTGGAGCAAGAGCATGAGACGTTAGTAAAGTAAGTAGAAACTTAGGGTCTCCTTATTCCTGGAGCAAGAGCAGAAACTTAGGGTCTCCTTATTCCTGGAGCAAGAGCATGAGACGTTAGTAAAGTAAGTAGAAACTTAGGGTCTCTTTATTCCTGAGCTTGCTCCAGCAATTTCTACTCAGGTGTCCTCTTTCCGCGGAATATATGACCCATGCTCCTTTAGGTTCTTTAAATTCCGTGGGTGGCGTAGCTACTGAAATTAATGCAGTCAATAGTCAATTATGCCTAGAAGTTGGTTAGCTACCTCTCATTTTTTATGTCTCTCCTACCGCGGATTTATGTCTCTCCTACTGCGGAGTCCTCTTTCCTCTTCCTATTCGTAGGTCATTTATGGCATGCAGGAAGGGCTCGTGCAGCTGCCGCAGGATTTGAAAAACCTTCTCCTTATCACTCGCTCAACAACAACTCGACGCCCGTCATCACGACGTCGAGGAGTGAGCGAGCCTGCTCAAGATGGACCCCACGATGTATTTATTTTTGCGCTTAGCATTTTCTTCTACTCGAGAACCTGAGAGGTGTGTGTTGTTAGGTCGACGCTCTAACCACTTGAGCTATTCAACTTGATTGTTGATAAGATTGGCTCTTCTGTAATGGTATACTATCGATCGCTTCAACAAGGCTCTGATACCACTTGTTGACTCTGGCAATTCGGAGTACAATGTCGACGAAAAATAGGTCGAAGGTTTCTTTGAAGGAAAAATTAGCGGAAGTAAAAGGAGGGAGGGAGAGAGATTCACTCAGATTTGCTGGAGACTCGATATCTTATTTTCCGGCTTAAATAACAAATCTAATTACAAAGAAAAACCAATTATACAAAAATAGGAAAGTGGACGAAGACTTCTCCCAAACGCCAAACAATGTCATCTAGAAT